TTCCGAGGTGGGTGAAATGAGGACCCGGATTGTTGTTGGGGGCAATATGCTGACTCTGTAAACCGCTTAGAGAGGGCTGAAAGCCCTATGAAGCAGGATATAAGTCTAACTGCTATTGCTATTGCTATCATGTTTTGTTCAACTGTCAATTATACGCCCCCTCCCCATAGACTTCCATACTTATGGTAGCACATTTAGTGACTGTTCAAATTTACAATGCTCATAGAAAAAATGACATGGTGATTTTTCACACTCACAACCCTCCCCTCCTCCCCTCCCCTCCTATCCTGTCTCTTCCTCTCCTCCCTTCCCCTCTGCTCCCCTTGCCTCCCCTCCCCTCCCCTCTGATCCCATCCCATCCTGTCTCCTCTCCACTCCACCGCTCTCCTTCTCTCCCCTCCCATCCTTCCTTCTCTCCTCCCTTCCCCTCTCCTCTGCTCCGCTCCGGTCCCTTCCCCTAACCTCCCCTCCCGTCTTATCCAATCCCAATCCTGCCTCCTCCCCTTTGCTTCCCCCACCTCCCCTCCCATCTCATCCAATCCCAATCCTGTCTCCCCCCCCCTTTGCTTCCCCCAGCTCCCCTCCCATCTCAACCCATCCTGTCCCCTCTCCTCCCTTTTTTTATTTTTAAAAAAATTTAAATTAATAAATTTCCTCCTTTTCTACTTCCTGCATTTTTGACATGAGGCGAGGCCACCACATCCTGTATCTGTTTTATAGCCCCAGATTTTCCCCACTATCTCCCATATCAAAATAGGTCATTTAAAAAAAAACAACCAGAGATTAAACTATCTGTCCCCACCTCACCCCAGCATCTTTGTGGTTTCTGTACATTAATCTGGCCTGCCTGTAACGTTTTCTACACGTCAACAGTGATATCTGTATTTCACTTTGGAGGAGCCAGTTTTAAACTAAGCTTCTGGGAAGTCTGCGGTTTTTTGTTGCTGTTTTTTAAATGGGAAGATTGATCCGTCTTCCTGGATCTGCTTTTTGAATGGCCGGGCGTATTCTCTTGACACTTGCAGAAGTGCAGTTATTGGGAACTGGTGTCTGTGCACCCAGAGGCATTTTCAAAGTCTTGGCCCTTAGCTGTTTCCAAAACAAATACATAAAGATACACAGCCATCCCTGTTTGCAAACCAGGACTTGGGGTTTCCCACCAACAGCCGGCTGTGAAATTCTGAAATGCAGCAAGCTGCGTTTTCTCCGTTCAGCCATATCGGAAATATTTTTTTCTTTTTCTTTTTCTGCAATATCCAAATGTCCTAAGTGGTTATAATGAAAGATATAAAAACGAAAAGAAAGCGCTTTAAATACCGCAGCTAATTAAAAGAAATTCCTATCGTATGAATGACAGCGCCTTGGAAGAGCGTAGAAACGGCATTAAGTAACACAGAGATAAAAAGCAATTTAAGTATTAAGCATAAACACCCCCTTCAGATCCCTGCTCGGTGAAAGCAAGGAAGGAAGGAAAAAAGAAGGAAAATTCTCATTTAGGTAAAGGCATTTGATCTGTTTTAAATACCACAT